ACCGCCACCGATGTAAGCGGTACGCCCGCACTACCTGCGGTTGGTCTGAATCATTTAAATCCATTCAAAGCTGTAGCTGCTTTAGCCGCAGCTGGTGGCGCGGCCCCAGGCACCTTGCCGCCGGGTTATCCACCTGAAGCTGCCAGCGAGTGGATGAAATCTTTTTCAATGTTTCCATATGTGCCACCAGTGTTTGGTAGCATGTCTGCGCTTTATCGGCAGCCAACTGCTTTTCCAGTCTCTATGAATTATCGTGGGTATGCACCGCGCATGCGAGCTCGTGGCCGTGGTGGTCGGGGACGCGGTAGAGGTGGCTACGATTCATCTTACTACAACAATTACAAAAATAATTACGACGACGACCAGTACGAAGAAGACGATTATCGTAAGGAATCGTATTCGCGCTCTAGGTAACTGAAATAAAAAGCAACAGTTGTTCGGTTTTTCAATTTACTAAAAAAAATGCAATTTTTCTTGCAGAAATCGTTCACGGAGCCGCTCATACTCGCGCTCCCGTTCACACAAGCGTCACTACTCCAAACGCAGTCGTTCACGTTCCCGCAGTCGCAGTCGCAGTCGTAGTCGTACTCCCTCCCATTCTCGTTCCAGGCAACGTCGTTCACGCAGTCGACCTCGTTCCGAACGTCGCTCTCGTTCGCGATCATACACGCGCTCACGTTCACGCCCTCGTTCGGAATCAAAATCGAAAGCTAGGCGCACTTCGCGCACTCGCGAGGATTCTAAATCGCGTAAAACGCGCTCCCGCACAGGTTCCAGGAGTCCGGCACAACAACGTGCCAATAAGAAACTAGTATCTACACGTCGTTCATGCTCCACATCTGCTTCATCTCACTCGCGCTCCAAGTCACGATCGCGCACGCGCTCGAAACGCTCCTGGTCTCGACGTGGCGACCGACCATCAGCAAAGAGACAAATTGTATTGGAAACCGATAAACTAGTTCGTTCTGCCGAAGAAATGAAACGCACAATTGAAAAGGTCACCCAAGATCGCATGCGGCAGGAAGAGCGAGAGATAAAAGAGAACTTCCGGCACTGCAAATATAATCCAAAACGCAGCCTAACTAACGCTGTCAACGCGGAAGCAGCGAATGCCATTGTGACAAGCTCGGAAAATGACGTGGACACAAAATCGAGTGCGAATAATGTCAGCGCCGAAGGAACTGCGGTCAATTCACCATTAGCTAGTAAAGAGGTCGATCGTGTGGAGCGAAGCCACAGTAAAGAACGAGTGCGCAAGCATTCACATCGCTCGCCACATTCAAGACGCAATTCATACGAACGCGAAGCAGACCAATTTTAGCCGGGTCAAAGAGTTTGGAGAAAACGTTTTCTTTGACAAAGTTTAATAGGTTAATATTTAAACAAAATTCATGCTAACAATAATATTAACTAGAATTTAAATTGATATACAGCCGTATAGGTATGTATAGGAAAATTTCTAAATCGCTAAGTAGCATACTTAGATGAAAGTAAATTATTTCCAACTATATTATATGTAATTAAATAAATGTTTAGTTCTACATATTAACTTTTGAAAGTTAAGTGGACCGAGAAAATTACCGTAGCGATAACCGCTAAAAATAATTTAAAAACTTTGGAACTAATTCTCGTCTCGCGGGATATTTTTCAATTTACATTTTTGATTTTATAAGTGTTGAGTGAAATAATGGGCTGCCTGTGACTTGAACGCTTGGAGGACTTATCACGTAAGTAGTACGTTAAATATAATTATAATACGGTGCAGTAGTCCGAAGTTGAAGTATTCACCACAGTTAGGTCTAAGCTATCGGAACGACCCAAATTAGCAGTTCTATGATAATATACACAAACTCAGGCTTAATGGAGCATGAGAAATTGCAATTTTTCGCTTGAACATTCTGAAAACCAATTAACCGGGACTCTTTCAATTGAAAAGTTGTTTTTCGACCGTTTCCCGGTTTGGGATAAAAAAAAAACTTTGACAAATTCTGTAAATTTTCAAATGCATACCGAACCTAACGTAGCACCTTTTGGCAAGAATCGATTGATCTAAAACCTCACACTATTAGGGCCAGTTTTTCAGTGTCAGTTTAAACTTAGATTGCGTAAACTGAGTTTAAATTGAACAGCTGGCTGACATTTGATTGGCTAATCTTAAATTAAACCCGCCAGCTCGGGCATTTAAAACCACAGCCATACCCTAAAAACTGGTCCTTAATGGTGTTAATGCTGGATCCTAGGTAGCCACAGCCCTTGACTACTTCGTTCGTACTTTGTCTACTAGGTCCGTGCACCGCAAGACCAACAAGCTGATAAATGCTGGAATCGGCCCTGCTATTTAGGCCGGCAGGTTCTGCAATTCACTTCCGAGTCAATTTCGACCCCTGCCAATTTGAATTCAAAGTGAACCTGACTCAAATGCATTCGGAAGTGAATCGCAGAACCTGCTTGATTATAATCTGCATGGGCCAGCAGTACCGTACTTTTTCTGGTATATAGCGCCTCTGCGGACCTTCCGAGTTTGGACTCAACATAGCCGTATAAGTTTTGCAGAGATTGCAGATTTAGACATGGCGTCGTAGAAGCAGATTCTCCTACTATATGCTACCGGCCCATTGTAATTGCAGGTTTTCGACGTCGAGCATTTGTCGTTGACAGTGGCATTTTAGGCTGGGCTCGAATTGTAACATCCGTTCACGGATCGAAAACGATACAAAAGAAAATTACGTGATACGTCAAGCAGTATAAGCTGAATGGGACAAAGAGTACGTTCACGTATGTCATAATACGTGACGAGTAGTACGATATCGTATGTGACGATTCGACCCCTGACCAATGTTTTAGTGCTTATCTAAGCGCTTAAAATGGATTGCTTATTTTCTTCGGCCCGGGTAATAAATTCCACAAGATTGCAGCCTTGCTTTTGATTTGCCAATGATGATCGAACGCTTGATGTAGGCAGAGTCACAAAGTTTCGCGTAGAACGTGAAGCTCATTCATAAAAAGTAACACTGCCGTATTACTTGCAATTCGCCTACAACCACCTTTAAATACCCTCTCTTCTCTGAGATACTTCGCCGACCTAAACGGGGTTAGAGCGCCGAAACACACCGGCTGTCGTGGGAATGAGTCATTCCGGTACGTAGAACTGGCTGTCGTGGCCGGCCGGCCGGTTTTAAATTACGCAGCGCCAGTGTGGTCGCCGGGGACTATTAGGACGCAGTGGACGAAGCTACAGACTGTACAGAACACCGCACTCAGGACAGCGACAGGATGCTTCCTGATGTCGCCCGAACATCAGCTCCACAACGAGGCACAAATGCTCCCCATAAAGGAGCACAACATAATGCTCTGCAAGCAGTTTCTGATCGGGAGCCACAGAAGTGGCCACCCAAACAGACAGCTGCTTGCAGAGGAGCCCTCGCCTAGGCACGTCAGGAGGCATCTATATGAACTGACGGACGAAGTCCAGATGTTCATCAAGCAACCTCTGGACCCGTCAGCCTACCTACTGGCCCGGAACGGCATTCACAGGGAGTCAGTCTCGAGTTATGTAGACTCTAGACCTGTGAATGCCGTTCTAGGCACACCACCACCGGACATAGACGAGGCGGAGCTTCATCTGCCTCGGGAGACACGAGCAACAATAGCCCAACTTCGCTCTGGCTACTGCAGCAGGTTAAACTCCTACCTAAGTAGATTGAATGAGGATGTGCCAAATGAGTGTCCGGCATGCGGAGAGACCCCGCATGACTCGAAACATCTCTCGAAACATGCCCGGACAACCCGACAACCCTAACGGCTTTGTCCTTGTGGACCGACCCGATAGAGGCTGCACGCTTCCTAGGGCTGCCGTTAGTGGAACTTGACGACACGACAACGACTGAGATATCAACCGATCTGGGCGGGGTTGTTGTAGCCGCTACAACAACAACAACAACAACCCTTTCTTCTCCATGATAAATATAAATACTCAAAGTTGTATTTCTTCCTTTCTTTACATATTCATGTTCTCTATTTATACATAAGCGGTTCTTAATGATTTCTTAATTAAAGAATGAGGGTAGTCAAAATTAAGGTAAATAAGAAATGAATGCTTTGAAAGGACATCAATCAATATGTGCTAAAAACGAATAATTTACAACAATGATTGCTTAGCTTTTCTTTCATATCTTCTCATACATACCATACAAAGTTAATATTTTTATTACACACTACGCCGATCGCTAAAGAGGTATACGTCCTCTTCTTAGAACGCATGCATCTTTGATTGATAATTTGTATCTGATGACTTAATGAAAAACTTAAATGTATTAATTTATAATATAATGTAGCTAATGCATGGCATGGGCATAGACTACCTACACGCATGTGTACGTTCGTTCAACGGTTACAAACTACCTACACACATACATTATACGCAACAGAATACCACCACCACCAACTATGAAACAAGTGCGTCCTTTTACTTTTTTGACTTTTTGCCGGTTGTGAGTGACTCCTTTGTAGTGTTCATTCATACTTGGTGGGCGTATCATTAACATTTACACTAACGGTTCTATTGTGTATGGCGACTGATAGCCGATGGGCCACCATATACTAAAATTCGCATTACGTATGGCTACTGGCTACTGAGTCTAGTAGCGGAATTTTCTGTTTCCCACTATGGGTAATTTTGTTATTTGTTCACATAAATGATTCAACACATTGGAGAAAATTTGCCAATTACTTGGAAAAGTTCGCGTCAAGAAAGTAAATTCGGATATTTTCTGCACTTTTCTGTATACTGAGATTAAACGCTATACAAAATGCAATTTGCGATACTGGTAGCCATGGCTACTAGACCAGCAACTAGACCCCAGTCGCCATACATAATAGGGCCATAAATGTGCACTTAGAATCTAAAAAGTTGTCCAACGCTGCCCGAAAGACGTTGCGATTTATCTAGCATATTTGCGCCTTGCCCCCGAAAGAGCTTAGAATAATTTGTGTTGGTGCTGTTTTTTTTTTTCTCGAAGCTTTACTTCTTGATCTAAAAGCGTCGGTTATTCCGCCCACCACGATTACGTCCCCCGCCTCTTCTATTGCCACGACGCTGATTGTTACCAAAGTTGTTGTTGCCCATATTGTTGTTGCTATTATTCATGTTCATATTCATATTAGTCGTGTGCATGCCGCCACTGTTGTCGTCCGGCCCTGACCCGCCGCCACCGCCTTTAGGAAACATCCCGTTCTCCCCATAATTCATATTATCATTATTGAAATTCGGACCATTGAAGGGCCCATTGTTGCCGTTAAAGCCGTTCTGGTTGGGAGGTGGCACCATGCTCGGAGCGATGTTCGGGCCCCCGCCCATGGGCGTTGTGCTCCACGGATTAGGCGTTTGTTGTTGCTGTTGTTGGAAGGGCGGACCCACGGCCCATGGACTAGGTCGGCTCTGGGATTGTTGCATCGGCGACTGCTGCTGTTGCGGATACTGCTGCTGTTGAAAGTTTGGTTGCTGAGGAGAATCGCGCGGATCATCGCCATACTCTGACTTCTGTGGCGGTGCTTGTTGCGACTTCAGCTGCAAAAGACAAGGCAAAAACGGCTTCTTCAAACTCAGCAGCTCACGTACGCATACCAGTTGGGCGCTATGTTGCCGATTGTCAAAGCGTGAGCGCTTCGAAGGAGGTGAACTCTCTCGACCCTCCAAAGTGGGCGACAGCGATCGGGAGCGGTCGCGAATCGGGACCACATCGCGCAGCTCGTCCAATTTGCCCGCATCGATATAATTGTTCAAGTAATCGGGACCCTGTCGTATGGCCACCATGACGCGCGAGTCGGGATGTACGCGTATGAAGCGATTATAAACGAGCATGCCAACAATAGCCTGTGGATCCATTGTGGTGAGCACGCCGCTGGCCAACATGCCCTCAATGGCGCTCTCGCTAATCTGTTGATGCGACAAACCGCTTGTATCTTTGGGCTCGCGCATAGCCAACTCATCGTGAAAGTTGCTTTCCTCGGGGCGTCGAGAGCCGGCCCATTGTGCTTGGAAGTTGCGCGGTATGGGTTTGCTGTATGGCACTTTCTTATCGCCTAACCGCGACGGATCCAAATCAAGACCGGGAATGAAGCCCTTATCAGCAGTGAGACTTTCGGTGAATTCGACTTTATCCTCGGGGCCCATGCCAGGAATGACAGCGTCATCTGAGCGAAAAAAATATAAAATACAAATTTTAGTTGATTTTTGAACGAGGAGTTTACAGACCAAGTCTAAATTTAATTACTCACCATATTCGCAATCATCCAGCGCCGCCAAACTCGCAGGCAGCGTATTCAAATTGTACTTATCACGCATCAAGTCGCCGGGTCGATTGCGAGTCCAAAATTTGATCGTGTGATCATTTGAACCTGAGCAAAGTATGTGGCCCAACGGGTGCCAGGCCAGTGTCCAGACAATGCTGTCGTGCGCGGTCTCTACACAGCCAATTTCCTTATCGGTGCTGCAGGGCCAAACAAACGAAGGGGTTTAAAACTAGAAAACTTGACATTTGCAGGCAACTTACCCGACATTCCAGAAGAGTATTGAGCCATCAGAGCCGCCCGAACAGAAGAGACCCTCGTGTATGGGATGCCACGACACAGAGCTGGCCTCTTTTTTGTGGCCGCGAAATACTTGCATTTCTTCACGTAAATTGCGCAAGTCGAATAGTTTGAGTAAGTGGTCGCGTGAGGCGGTAACCAGCCAATTACCATTATCATTCCATTTCAAATCCATTACAGTGGACTTGTGCGCATGCCTAAATGCCGATTAAGTGGAAGCGAAAAAAGAAGATGTGAGAATAGGTTATAGCAATTTCAATGTTTTAAACTCACAGTGTGGCCAGCGCACTGCCGCTCTTTGGATCCCAGAGCTTAATCGGCTGCTGGTTATCTTTACTGCCGGAGACAATCAGTCCCTTTTGTGGATGCCAGTGCACACATTTAACATCAGCACCGTGACCTGGAAGTGGAAAATGTCGTTAATTTACAAGCCTAATGAATCAAGATGAAATGGTGATACATATGTACATATGCATGTATGCAAAATGGATTTGCTTATGGCTGTTTAAAATTGCTGTTTTATTTTAATTATTTCGATCGAACTAGGGTTAAAAAAAAATTAACAATAATTATTCTCTTTAAATTAATTTATTTATCGTATCTCAACGCACTAACAAAAAAAATCTCAATTAATAACAAAATACATTTTTAATAACTTTTTGATCTGATTATTAATGATTAAGTGAATGAGTAAATACTTTTTTGTTTTTTTAGCTCAAAGCAACTAAACTCCCACCGTAGAATGAATAAGATTAGCCAACCTCACGTTATTATCAAGCCGTCTTTGAAAATTCAATTTACCGTATTTATCTCGATATGAGGCAAGCTCAAATACGACTCATAAAGAAATTATATAAATCCTTCCGAAGCTTCAAGGGGTAAACTCTAGTAGAATTGGATACTCAAACACTCGAGTAGCTCTATAAAGTGCAAGTTTCAAGTTGCTAAGAATTCGCGTTGTTCTTCGATATTTTATTTTTTTGCTGGCGGTGTCACGCATTTTTAACCGACTTAAAAAAGGAGATTATCAATTTTGGTCGGAAAAAATTTTAAAAAAAATTTGAAAAAATTTTATGGGCTATGAAACTAAAAAAATCTTAATAAATAATTAGTTGCAAAGTTTTTTTGAATTTTCCTAATATTTCTACAAAGTTCGAAACTTGGACTTATATGGGCCTTGTTATATATTGAGTAGTATTTAAAAAAAAAAAACAAGTAATTTTTAGCAAAAAAAACCGACTTCAACTCTCATATAAAAAAAATATATATATATATATATATCTCATGATCCACTGATCGGATCTTAACCAGATTAGTATGGGACCACCTCTGAGACACTACCTTTCCGATGCAAAAAAGAATTATCGAAATCGGTTGACGTGGTCCAAAGTTATGCGGTAATATACATAAAAAAAAAATTAAATTAAAACAAAAAAAATATTCCGACGAACTGATAACCTCCTTTTTTGGTAGTCGGTTAAAAAACATTAAAAAAACCTAACGAAAATAGTAAAAACTCGTCAAAATATTGTGTCACTGTTATTTTTCACATGGCTGTATTTTGAAAATCAATTGAGCGAATGGTGAAGCAGTTAAATGTCTTTTGGAAGCATCATCTGAACAACGTATTGGGTCAAGAAAAAAGAAAACGAGAAATGGATGATGTTTACTTTCTGTCCGATACATTTGTGTTATTAATTTCTTGGTAATGGCTTACTTCTTCCGACAGAAGATGATGTAGTTTCGGAACGAACGCCGTTTGGTCTCCAAATCAAATTAAACAAGAGATAACGTAAATTTCTATATACACTATACATATATATTATTATATGGAAGAAAATGCGTAACACCCTCAACAAAAGAAAAAAAAAACGATAAAAAATTAACGGTAAGTTTTAGTGACTTGAAACTTGGCACTTTATTATACCAAAACTAAATGCATTTTCGAAAATTTTCTAAGCATTCTGAATAAAATGTTTGAAAAATTTATACAAATTTTTTGAAGTTTAATTCATTTTTGTGAACTTTGTGCAATTTTAGAAATTTTTATTTCTACGGTTTATCGGTTTTGTAAAATCGTATAATAAAATTTTAAAGTTTTATATGCATTATAATTTCAAGTTTTTCAGATCTCTGAAGGGCAATAATCTTATTCGATCAAAAATATTTGTTGTTAACGATTCCATAGCAATTCTACGAAAAATTAAATTTTCTCCATATAAAGTATGTGGAAAACTTCAAAGCTCCGACGGCCCGGTCTCTTAATTTTCGATATTTTTTTAAATCTGGGGGTGACAGAAAACAATGTGTACTGCCATAAATTGAATTCGCAAGATTCGTTGAGAGGAAAACAATTTCGGAGAAATCGGAAATTTTATCTTCACTATCCTTTTGTTTTTTTTTTTTTTTAATATCTACATAAATCAACGCCCTCTTCTCTTCCTAAACTGTTTTAACAAATAGTCTTTATTATATTTACCTCTCAATACGCGCTCCTCCTGACAGCGTAGAAAATCCCATATCCGCAGTGTGCCATCGTCGCTGCAGCTCACAAATTTACTATCCGTTGGACTGAAACTGCAAGTCGTTGGGAAAAAAGTTTGTCAAACGATATTGTCGAAGGCGGACGATATACGACGATTGTTTTTTTTATTTTACGATGCAATACATTATATGTACATATTTAATGCATGTATGTGTGGGCATTTAATTTATTTGTTTCAATTGCCAGAACACGAAATATGCACCAGAACAAAATTATTCGGAAGAAAAGAATAAGAATTTATTTTCAAAATACAATACCAAATAATAAAATATGTACTTCTAAAATTATGGTTATCGCTAAAAAATGTTAAATTCGAAATGTATATTTTTTTTTTTTGTGACGACACTTTAACATAAAACAGCATATAGTAAATACATAGTTCGCATAAATCTCTATACACTAACAATACATAACAGTACAGCAAATTACGAAGCCGAGACAAGAGTAGACCGGACCTTTCACTGATCAGTATCACTGTGTGTGTGGGCAGTATTATGGAGCTTGACTGAGGTGAATATTGCAGGTCAGTTTTTTTGTTTTTTTTTTTTTATATACTTTATGATTAATAATAATAATAGTTGTTGTTAGTATAATTGAAACGTATCTATTTAAAAACAATATTTATTACTTAGTATGAATAAAAAAAAATAAACTCTTTTTATGCTTTGCTAAGTGTCAAGCGCCATATTCAGGAAATACCTCCTCGACCACGTTCTAGTTCGGATTCCTCACTATGTAGACTTGCCCATACACCAATTTAAATGCAGTTTGAATTTGACTAAATGAGAAATTTATTCCTATAAAATATTACAAAAAAAAAATACCATGCAGCTCATTTTTATTTATTTCTCATTCATTCTTTAAATTTTTTATTAAAGCATCTAAAATATAATCGTACCTAAAAATGTATGCCACAATTGCAATAAAAGTCGGATTGAATTTTTTAGCAAAAATATTTTATTATATTTGAATAAACAAAAACAGCTCCCCAACCCACATTTAGAATAAAAAGGCAAACATCTTTTTGAACTATCATTTTTTATTTTCTAAGGATTTTGTGAATTTCCGCATACGGTCAAAAACAAGTTTGCAGCTGCAGATGCATTAGCTTTTGAAACAAAAAAAAAAAATGGAATGTAATAATTCGCACATGTCTTCTACGCGTAGTGATTGTAAAAAAAAAAGGAAATTGTCCTTTCTATCCAGGTTTAGGAAGCAACTGTATGCACAAAGTGCTTGCTAGGCGACTTTACGAAGCTGCCGGGACAATCTAAGGGTAAATGCGTGGGCATGGTAGCGTCCCATTCAAGCAGGCGGACAGCAAGCCAAACTAGCAGGTGGAAATTGTAAACGAAAAAAGTGGAAAACGCAGCCAAAATGTTGAAAGTTTCCAAATTTGTATGTAGTGTTGCAATGAAAAAAGTCAACGTTAATTATTTTTCTTAATTATCTTTGCTTTATTTGTACTCTCAGGTATCGCATGTGAAAAAATCAGTCTTTTAACGCTTTATTTCAAAATTTGTTTCTGGTAACAATAGTAATTTGCTTGTACATTTGTTTTTGTTTTTTTTTGTAATCGATTAAATACGTTAACAAAAGTATTTGTATGAAAATAACAATGAAAAAAAAATATCTTAGTAAGGCGCGTTGTCGTTTTTTATTTATTTATTTTTGCAACAAAATTGGCCTTATCCCTACCAATAAATATGTTTTTAGTTATATGTATAGACTAGTTATATAGCCTTATATGTAATTTAGCAACACACACGCGCACGCACGCAATTGCACACACATCCGCACATGCATTCATACGTAAGCAAACAGAGTAGCCTCTACAAAACATTATTAAAGGCTTTATTCATAAATATAAAAAAAGTGAACCCTTCATCCTTTTATTTCTAAATCAAAGTTAGATGCTAATTTAAAAATTACGTTGCGCGGGCTGAACCTTTTTATCTAGTAGGGTTTAAAAACAAAAGCAAGTGATGCTTCGTATTTTTACATTTGCGAATTAACTCAAACATTCTGATATTGATAAAGTATAAGTTCATTGAAACCTATGGAAAACGGAAGCTACCTACATACCGTTGACACCTTTTTTGAAGCTGTTCGTTTGGTGGCAAGCAGATTATTCTCGAGTTCCCTTACTTCGCCAGGATGCCCATATGTTGGGAATTTAAGTCTAAAAAGGCCCAGCTTCCTGGATGGTTCCAGACGTCGATGTCTTTGCAAAACCGCCTACCTACCATACGGCACTCAAATTTTACAGTAGAGCAAAAAACGGGTTTTCATTGAATTAATTGTCTCGATAGGCGATATTTTCTCAAGCTATCATTTTACAAGTCTGTCGTTTTACTAAAGATTTTACGATTTTTATGCAAAAATTTCGATGCCTGGAGTTCAGGGTTACCAAATCTTATTTTTGCCACAACAGCGATTTGGGCGGTTTTGCCACTGGTCAATGGGCGGTTTTGCAAAGGCATCGACGCCATGTACCTTTACACTTTGTTTATAAGCAAATTATTTCTGGTTAAGTTTTTTTGCTTTTAATCTCAAAAAGCGCGAAATGTTGCTGGGTAAGCTGCGTCTGGCTTTGTCCATTCCAGGATACTCAATAAACTGTTGGCAGAAAGTTAGCGCACATTACTGGGGTCTAAGTGTGTTTTGTAGCCAGAGATAATTGACGCATGTTCGAAATGCTCAGACGGATTGAACAAGGAATTGGCACGTTAGGTCCGGTAAGCAGAGAATTCCAAACGAATTTTCGTTATACGGCCTGCGAAAATTTCATTCGTCGATAATGGGTAGAGCGGTAAATATTGAGGAAAATGTGTACATGATTTCAAGATAAAAGGATCATCTAGTAATCTACTGCAAGGGCTTATCAGTCCGGTTGTAGTATTTTCGTGAAAAGTGCTATGCTGGCTCTCATGGCCTCATATATTCCTAAGGAGCTAAGGATTAGCAAAAACTAATCAGCTGCTAATAAATGAGTAATCATTCTTGAATACTACTTTCCTATAAAAATTAAAATATTTCATTTTTATTTTTTACTTTGGCTTTAGAAAAAGTTATCTCACAGATTTTTTGCGCTATTACGTTAACTGAATGCATTTTGAATTTTATTTTAGTGAAACAAGGTGCCACTCTAGCATCGCAAATTTTTTAAAATCTTTTTCAAATCCGTTGATATTCTAACGTAAATATGTTGGGCTGTCCAGGATCTTGTGAATATGCTCTTGCATAACAACATAACATAACATAGATAACATCAAGTATATTTACCTCAAACATTTGCCCTATCCCTATCTTTTACAATTTCCTTTCGGTAAATTCGAATTCGTTAGAATTTCTCTACTACGCAGTACTTAACTTAGCTAATATCTATTTATCCATCGATAACATGTACTCTCTTAATAATCTTATATTTTGCAATATCTGCTTTCGTCTGGGTATTCCTCAATTTTAACACTCGCGCACACATTCACACCTCCAAACTCACACAAAACTTTATTTTTTATTATCAACAGCAAACAAACAACAATAATACTATTAATAATTGAATTGTTAAAATAATTGATATCAATGACTTTCAAACAAGTTTTTAGCAACTACTCGTACCAACATTCAAAAAAAAAACTTTACTAACAGTGCCTCTCCGAAGTACAATATTCCGCGAAAATATATGCTCATAAAAACGCAAATTGTGCTTTATTATTAATATTATTTTAATTGCATTATCGATATAATGCATTAAACTCAAACAAAATATTTTATTTTTGTTATTTATACTCAAAAAAAAACTGTAGAGAAAAGGAGCAATATTTTAAAGATATTAAATGCGGTACGTAGGGTTCAACCGAGATATTGAGAAAAAGTAGTTATAAAATGTACTAGGAAACTGTGCTCTAATAATAATAGAGGGCACTGTAGCTGTGGCGATAGTGATGTTGGTAGTAAAAGTAATTTTATGTACGAGTAAAAGAAGTAGAAGAAGAATTGGAATTAGTAAGCTATACCTTATTCCCCTAATCGCCTCCTTGTGCGCTTGAAACATTTTCACGTTGTTCATATTTGATTGCCAGTACTTGACGTAGCCAGAGTGATCACCAGTTACCATCCAACTGTCATTGTGGGACCAAACCATTGTACGAACCGGAACATCATGAGCCTGTTGAGTAGAACGAATCGCCGTTGCATGCATTTGCATCCATTTCAGGGTTTGAAAAGTGAATGATTGCCGTTGTGATGGTATTCAATAGAAAATTTCAAAAATTAAAAGAAAAATATTTAGTTGATGGAAAAAGTAAAAAACATTCGGTAAAACTAAACTTTTAAATAGGTTTATACAATAGATCTGTTTTTTACGCGATAATTTGTAATATTTTTAATGTTTTGGGTGTTTTCGTACGCAAAAACTTGCAATTGGCAAACTGAGAAAGCAAAATTTTCAGAAAACTGCAGTTAAAAGTGGCAATGTAAACAGCAAAAGTTAAACTATTTTGATTAAAATTTCAATTAACTAGTAACAACTTGTCATGCTAACACCTTGGTACTTTTTTGGCTGGGTCTCTCATCGATAACTATTCTCGGAAATTAAGTTACTGACAAGTTAATGGATATTTTTACTGGAGAGTACATGATCAGACCTAATAATATATACTTTATCTACTAACAAATTATTTTCGACGTAAATCTTTCAGAATAAAATTGTTAATTTGATTTACCACAACATACCACCTGCTTTTTTGCCTCACCTGCAATATGGTTTCGAAATTGAAAGTCAGCCCATTCCATAGAGTAAATTCACCGGAACTGGCGCCAGTCACTAAACGTCGGCCTTCTGGCGTCCAGGCGAGCGTAAAAATCGGACACCGCATTTTATTCGTAGCGGTTTTGACAAATCGAGTAGTGACTGCATTTGATGGGTTGTCCATGTAACTGGACGGTGGTAAAAGTTCGGGTACATAGATACTTTCGGGTTGTGGCGCATGTCGGTCACGTTGATCACGTATCCATAGACGTGTCTATGAGCATAAGAAAAATACGTACAATTAATTTCTATACAAACCTTGTCCAGTTAAATGTGTATAACAAAAATGAAATGTACGTATGCACATATTCACATACCTCTAATGCTTTTACAATGGATGCATTGTAATCAACTGTTTTTCGCATAACGCTTTTTCGCAAACGCTTGCCATCAAAATCATCCTGTGTCATTCCGAATGGTCTCTGGAAACCGCCAGGATTGAATGGTTTGAAGTACGGGTATCCGGGTTTTCCAGGGCCGCCATGATGTGGATGGTAGTGATTGCGGTAATGTGAGCCATACGAACTACCACCTCCTGATTGTGATGGTAATAGTGTTGCATTTGTGGCTAGCGCCGACGGTGCTGCCAATTGAGGTGGCGGTTGAGAGACATCAGTTTGTGGTAGTGGAGGAGGTTGCTGGAATTCCATATCTTAAACTAGATAACTAATTGGTAAGTTCTAAATCCAAAAACGATCAGCCTGTTAATAATAAAATTAAAACCAATATTATACAAATTGCATAGTTACCGAGAAATCTAACATACATATATTTGATAGCTAGAAATTGATAATGAAACAAGCATGACGCTTGCACAAAGCACAAGTAGATATTTTTCTGGCGGTAGCGACACTCACCCTTCTATATTTCGCCTGGGCGAGACACGCTGGCAAACTAAAAAAGGTTACGCCACGCCGATTAACACAGAATTGTTTAAATAACTCGAACTGTTTAAGTTTAAAGTTATATGCTTCCAAATGTGATTTTACGCCATTTTATAATTAAAATAACACTCGCAAAATTTCTAAACGGTCAAAATGTGAAGAAATCGCGTGAAAAATCTTTTACGTCTGAAAAAGGATGAAGTTAGCTGTGGTTAGGCCACGAAATTCGGTACACGGTTGCCAACTTCCCAATTTAATAGTACCAAAATTTTAACTAAAGAGTACCATCTACGACTAAAATATAATATAGTTTTAAGCCGACCCCGAACGGCGATTGTATTTTTATGAGAAGCTGTTTTTCACGGCACAAATGCACTCGGAGGTTTGCCATTGCCTGCGGAGGGGCGACCGCTGTGGAAGCGCGCACTTCTCACCACTACACCACATCGGTCGCTAAAATTTATTAATTGCATTAAAAAAGTACGGGTAACGGTACTATGGCTTTCCCACGGCACCTCAATTACGTAGTTCGCTCTCATATTCGTAATTCGCACTCCAATTACCCTTCGAATTATGCAGTCCGCCATACAAAATTTAGATTCAATTACTATGCGAATTACGAGCTAATCGCTGCCGTCTCTAATTTTTTGAAATTTATCGAAACCAGCTCACATATCAAAGCTCGAATTTTCAGAATGCGACAAGTAAAGTTTATCAATGTGTATATTCCTAATTTAATACGGAAACTTATAAATTTTTTAGGAAGAACTTACATTTTGCATAAATTTTGCAGCGAAGATAATCAAAAACATAAAAGCAAAGACAGAGAACTGTCCAATCGAATTAAGAATGTGAACGTGGGAATGGGAAAAATTGCGATCGTAATTGGGAGAGCGAATAAAGCAATTCAGGACGCCGTGGGAAAATGGTCCTCCAAAGTACCGTCAATGGAAAAAACGTTCCACTTTTAGCTTCAAAGTTTTGGTAAGGCAACCGTACTTCCAAACGATACGATTTTATATCGATACTTTTTTCATTAGGCTCCGATATTTTTTTCTCGTTGCTCATAAATCGATAATTTTTTTAATCGTGTACTTTAACCCTCGTATCATCAAATAACGTAAATAGACGGAAAAAGAATGATAGAGTACAAGATTTTGCATTCTTGGGGGCAAGGGCATTTCTCAAGTAAAAGCAAGGAACGTAAGTCTATAATCTATAAATCTATATCTATAATCTATAAATTTACCTTCTTTGGTGTCATTCCATTTGCCTTTGTGAGTTTTCATTTTGTCAGCGGTTAACCATCGACCGCTTTGCCGTCGTCTGCTGCAATTCTGGGGAGAGCTTATAGTTTCCTGTATGGAACTGACCATGATAAAAACATTAGAAGGTGAAATCATTCTCTCAATTCGTCGGCCATGATTTTTTTCTGACGTTTGCAAACATTTTAAAATCATATAAAATTTAAAATATTTAAAATTATATTGTTGGCAAACGTTAGACTCAATGATTTTACCTTGTAATGTTTTTATCATGGAACTGACGATGGTAAAAACGTTGCCGACGCAATTATGTGCCATTCCATATGCCTTTGTGAGTTTTTCACCCCTATGCTGTAATCCGTCGTAGATTCGATTTTGCTACGAATCTTAAAATTGGTATGCTGTAATCCGCGTTGCCGTATCGTAATTTCGAAATTCGGAGACCATCTTCGAAATTCGTAATGTTGGTATGCCTGAATCCGACGTAGCTGTAATTTGTATGTATTTGTCGGTAATTTTCTACGAAGAGCAACTGGTGTCGGAGCGAAGCGAATTCTTTTAAAATATCAATAAAATAAAGTGTGGAAACGTAAAAATATGTATGTAAGTTGAAGTATGAATAAAAAACAATGTATTATTAAATGTTTACAAAATTATCAAGTCGACAATCAGAACAAATCGCTCGCAATACGAAAAACTAGTGGAATGCATGAGCGAAAGACCGGACATAGCCCGAGGCTTTGTAATAGTTAAAGAGGATGTGGTGGAATTTTGGGAAAGCGTTGCAAGATTTAAAGCAACACAATATTTAGTTGAATGGACGCCCTTAAAAAGAGGGAGCATATATTTATCATTTAAGCTAAATGGATCAGAACTGTCTTGTAGCAATCTCCTTTGTATATTAATGCAACAGTTGACTGCAGCATGTTCTTCCTCCTGAGACAAAAGTGCACCGGCCACTGAATCCATTCTATTTTACTTAATTAAGGAAAAGCTTTTTCAAATACGATTAAACATTTTTTTTTAATTTCACTGTTCACTTGCGATTATATTTATTTTGATTTGTTTCTGTCAAAGCAGCTGATTAAGAACTTCGAATTTCACTATTTTAGTTGGCAACGCCGTTGATAGTTACGATCGGATTACAGCACACCAATTTTCGAATTTTCGGAACGGAGCTACGAATTCGTAACTACGAACTTTCGGATTACAGCATAGGGGTGTTTATTTTGACAGCGGTTAGGCGTCGATCGCTTTACCGTCGTTCGCTGCAATTTTAGGTAGACCTTGTCGTTCATTCATGGATAATAAGCGCAAGAACTCTTAGGGGCAAATTCACAGTACGTAGTTAACTCAGATTCAGCAGTGAGCTATACACCCCTATGTTGTAATCCGAAAGTTCGTAGTTACGAATTCGTAGCTCCGTTCCGAAAATTCGAAAATTGGTATGCTGTAAACCGATCGTAACTATCAACGGCGTTGCCAACTAAAATAGTGAAATTCGAAGTTCTTAATCAGCTGCTTTGACAGAAACAAATCAAAATAAATATAATCGCAGGTCAACAGTGAAATTAAAAAAAAATGTTCAATCGTATTTGAAAAAGCTGTTCCTTAATTAAGTAAAATAGAATGGATTCAGTGGCCGGTGCACTTTTGTCTCAGGAGGAAGAACATGCTGCAGTCAACTGTTGCATTAATATACAAAGGAGATTGCTACGAGGCTGTTCTGATCCATTTAGCTTAAATGATAAATATATGCTCCCTCTTTTTAAGGGCGTCCATTCAACTAAATATTGTGTTGCTTTAAATCTTGCAACGCTTTCCCAAAATTCCACCACATCCTCTTTAACTATCACAAAGCCTCGGACAATGTCCGGCCTTTCGCTCATGCATTCCACCAGTTTTTCGTATTGCGAGCGATTTGTTCTGATTGTCGACTTGATAATTTTGTAAACATTTAATAATACATTGTTTTTTATTCACACTTCAACTTACATACATATTTTTGCGTTTCCACACTTTATTTGATTGATATTTTAAAAGAATTCGCTTCGCTCCGACACCAGTTGCTCTTCGTAGAAAATTTTCGACAAATACATACAAATTACACAGGCATGTTCTGCAAATCGTACGATTTCAAATCGGTGCGATTTACAAAATCTATTTCGGAGGATTTATATTAAAGAGGGAAAAATTTGGCGCTAAATCGATGGACATAACGTAAATGATGGGTTTCTAGCAGTTTCCATTTGAAATATTTAATACTTTGATTAAAAATATACAACAATACTTTGCAAATCGCACCGATTTTAAATCGTACGATTTGCAGAACATGCCTGACAGCTACGTCGGATTCAGGCATACCAACATTACGAATTTCGAAGATGGTCTCCGAATTTCGAAATTACGATACGGCAACGCGGATTACAGCATACCAATTTTAAGATTCGTAGCAAAATCGAATCTACGACGGATTACAGCATAGGGGTGATAGATTTTCAATACAAGAGTACGACTCTACAACAACTAGTGATGACAACACAAGCATTTGATGAATTTTTTTTACCGAACTTGGCTGACAATAATTTTGGCTAATTTTATTTCTGTTGTTTTGTTTACTTTTCGCTCGTTTTCCAGTGAAACAAGATGGCGTAGAACCCACTCGAAAAATCGACTTTTTTCACTGTTGTTCTGACGGGACCATAATTTCACCATGATTTTGGAGTTGTGCTCTTACGTTATCGTAACGTTACGTATTCGCTATCGATAGCGAATGCATCTCTGTGCTGAGTTGCGGAATCTTTTGCCCCATCAATGCAGCCAGCACACTTTTTTTTCTTCCCCATTACACATTGGAAGTCGAAAAGTGCGTTGTTGTCTAGAAATTTTTTATACGGTCCAATTTTTAATCTTTAATAGGAAAATCTATAGCGAAATGCCCTCGTAATCAAGGAAAAAAGTGATTTAAAAGATTATTAAAGTGGTGGATAGCTGAATGAGAAAAAGATTTACAAAAGAGTAGCTGAAAGCCCCATCGAGGCCAGCAAAAACAGATATATCATGAATATGTAAGCAAAAGCGTAATCGTACAATTCGAACAAAGCATCAATGCAACTCAAAGAAAATACGAAAGGAAACGAAAGTTAAAAATAATAAAAATTATGGAATAGCATTGAAGTTCGTTATATTTGCCATCAAAAGTCCATTTGCATGCAAAAATTCTATTCATCGGTGACATTATTTTTATTCTTCACGCGATTGAATTAAGAATTGGGTAAAAGAAGAAACGGAGTAACAGAAAAAATAATTAATGAAAATGGAACAAGTGTAAAGAATTGACAAAAGAAGCAGAAACAGATAAATAAGGAGCATACACACAAGCGCACATCAAGCTCCAAAAACAAAAAGCAAACATACGCAGTACTTGTAAATGGACAGCGAGCAAATCTACGAAGAAAATCTAGCTGAAGACCTGTGCAAGAAGTGAATATAAAGAAAATATTTAATAATTTGCTGTTCACGTTTGGAAATCGAAAAAATTCGTTGACAAACGCGCAGCTTGTTTTAAAGATTATAATATAAGAGAACAAGTTTACACAAATATATACATACATATATACATATGTATATGGAGGTTGGATGGGAACAGGCACATCTTGTGAGTTCTTGAAATTCTCGCCAATTAAAAGTGATTGCGAACATTGTCTAATTCAGTACATATGTGAAAAGAAAAAAAATAACTTCTTTTGCAAGGAATTTTCGCTGTTAAGCTCTCAATTTTGCTATTTTAGCAGAGGTTCATATTAATCAATCGCCAACCGAATTGCTGTGTAAGTACATATGTAGTTCTATCATTTTGTATTATCATTACATTCTCACATTCTGTCCTCTATTTTCCATTTTGAGTTTTCTCTGCGAAGAATCGGTGCATT